TAATTAAATGGAAAAGGTCTTGCAAATGTCCCTATTTTGATTCTCATGCTGCTGTATGCACACCAGCAATTTAATATCCGCAGGAACTTTCAGTTCAATTATAGAAATAGCCTTAGATCATAGTACTAAACATCATAATAGGATTCATTGAAGTACAATTCTACCTATATTATTGAACAGTCTAGAGAAGTCCTTTTTGCCCAGCCCTCACACATGAGAAATCAGATAAGCAATGTTCACGGGACCCTGACAAAGTTACTACATAAAATGAGAGCCCTTACTTATATTTGAGCAATTTAAGTTTTCCCCCAGAATGCCTCCTTCTTTGGTCCCATGAAATGTATTTTGTTATAGGTGTATAAAGCCAACAAATTTGCACTGCATTTTCCTTCACTCACATGAACTCATCAGAATTACTCCAGTGGTCCTATCATTTACCTTAAAACTTTCTAAGGAGCATATTATTTAGTGCAATCTTCAAAGTTCTATACCCTGATCTTTCTACACTGATACATGCATAAAATGTGTCAGAAAAGAAACAGGTACCTTAACACAATGCTGCAATCACTGCAATTGTTAAAAGTATAATTTCATTGTAGTGATACACAGCTAGTCTACAGAAGACTTACAGACAAGGGTTTATATTCATGACACTGACTAGCACACATTTAACATCTAGGAAATTCTTTCTATACTGATATCCCCGACCAATAAAAAAGAAGGTACAGTGCTATAAGAATACTGAGGAGGTTCTTCATGCATGAAAATCCATAATTACTTCTAATCAGTGATTATGTCACGGTACAATTATTTTTTATATGGTATGGTCAGAAATGCTTAGTGATTAAATTTGATTTCCTCAATTTCTACTTTACCATTGTGGAACCCTCTATAGACTATAAAAAGAGAAATTTTAATCCTTAGCAATCATCTAAATATTGACTACTAATTCTACCAATATCTATTAATCCTATCAGTTGTCCTGGGTTTCAGACAAAACACAAGTTGTTGATGGGCTTGTGTTTCTGCTATGTTCAAGGTCTTAATATTTCAGCTACGCAATTTCCTTTTGACCCAAAGTCATTAGTCTAAATTGAGCCCATTATTGTTTATCAAACTGCTAAAACTTTTAAGTTTCATTTTACAATGCTAAGATTTTCAAAGATTTTCTAAAAATATTATCTTCTAGTGTTTAAACCCTCCATTCTATCAATACCTTTCTATTTTCATTAAAAAAAAGGTCCAATAAACATCTCTTCAAGATGCATTACATGCTATTCTACCAATAAAAATGAACAGTAAATATGACACTAGAAGGACTGAAATCACAGTAAAATAAAGCAAATTTATTGTCTCTCCAACAGACTTTAGATTGTGAGCTGTCTATCTTGATCACTTAAATTAAACCCTGAGTACTCGTTATGTCATACTTGCAGGACTTTCCTGCTGATCTGTTACCAATTTGAGAATTAGCGAAGTACTTATTATATGTTCCTATTAAGAACAGAATTATAAAATTTAATATTGAAGTCCTATTTTCTATAAGGCTGACACAACTGCCCACTTATAAAATATGGGCATTCTTCCCATACTTAATGACCCACTACTGATCAAAACAAATAGGAAAAAAAAGTTCTTACCAACAATTCCACTGGTTATCGTCCCCAGCGAACCCCACCTAGCAAGTCGACATCATGACATGTCAGGTCAGGGCAGCCTCAACCTCGCTTCCCTGATAGTCAGGTGATAAAAGGAAGGAGTTAAAACAGGAAAAGTACACTTGCAGATTTCTGGATAACATCTGAAAATGATTAAAAAACAAAAACCAAAACAAAACCAGAGCTTCTGGTAACCTCTAAATAAAAAAGTATA